AGAGCTTGTCTGATACAGGTTACTGACACAAATCTAGGAAACTTCCCTCTTTAGATCATGGGTCTTTGCTGGCTAAATCTCCTTGAGCCTAAAAAGGATTTTACTGATGTGAAATTTCTAATACTACACCAAATATGAGAACAGGATGATCTCTTGCTCCCAGTATCTGACTCATTTCCTAAAGCATTTTGGTAAGTACAATCTCATGTAGAGGGTATCCAGCTAGCCAGCACCAGCTTCTTCAAAATCCAGTTCATGAATCAAAAAATTCCTTCTTTGAAGGCAAAAGAAAGGAGCTTCACACTCTCTGGGACAACATTTTGGTAAGGCATGAAATTATAATCCTGTATTTATTCCTACAACGGAGTCACATCTCAGTGTCATTTCACTTGATAATGTCAGCTTTGGTGATGTAACTAGAAATCATGGAAACATTTTCCGAGTTATAAAAAGCAACAACCAAACAACCAGAACCACAAGAAGTTCCAAACTTCTCTTGGGGCATACATCATTTTGTAAGGCATATTTACATTTTGAGAAGACTTGGCAGATAATCAAATAATGGACATGATGAAGGGTAGAATAAATCGCTATTATAAAAAGTTGCATTTTCTTCTTCTTTTTCTGTCCTTGCTGTAGCAAGTCTTTTTGTCAGCTGTTAAAAGATGTAGTCTTCCATAGGGATATATTTGGATTTTCCCCCCTAAGGAATATCACTAGCAATCTTCATTTTGCTAACGCCAAGTCCTCAGCCACTAAGGCTTTATTCCACAGATATTTTATATTTTCATTTCTGACATGTGGGTTTGTGTGCTCAGATAGTTTTCATTCTCCTTTGATTTGCAAAGTCACTGCTCTAAGAAATACATGAGAGAATAGGGAATGCATAGAGCTATTTCTCCTGTTGAAACAAATGTCAGCATCTCATTGACTTCAGAGAGAACAGGATCAAGTAATTAAACATTGTTTTGCCTGGATTCCAATAGGCTTTTTATCAGGCCTCATTTTCCTAGCTAGCACTTGCAGCTTTGCTGCTTTGGATTCTGCTGACAAACGACGCTCTGTAAATCTAACCAACCAAGCTCACAAAGCTGATAAGAGTTCCTTCCTGTGCTCCCTTGTGAGCACCTTCTCTGCAAATGTACTCTGAGTTTGGTCATCATTGATTTCAGATTAAGACATTGCAAAGTGAAACTTGAATGTCAGCTAAAGTGATAAAGAAATTAAAGTTAATGCACAGTCTTTCAAGCCAAATGATTCCAGGCTGCGTAAAATGGTAAATAGATTCTGCTTTGTTAGGGTGCTAAAACATCTGCATGAGTCGGTAACTGTCAGCTGCTTAAAGGATGTCACATTGCAAAATAGCTGGCTAGGTTGCTTCAGATTATATCAGGAGAAAAATATAGTGATCTGTGATAGAGATGTTGGGGAAATTGGGGGAAGAGGGAGAAAGAAAACAAACCCCAAACCAAACAATAAAAATACACAGAAAACTTGTGTATTTAGCACACACTTGCATGAAAACAGTCTGTAGAATGTGTCTATCAGTGAATGGAGACAGACATTTGTATTAAGTAAATACATGCCTAATACAAATGCACCATTCTGTATGTGTTGTAGGCAAGAACCTGAGATTACTTTTTTTCTGTGGGAAACCTTCTGTCAGAGACGAAGATCACTTCCCAGATGCTTTGATGTTAGCATATTATATCTTAGCAGAGACTGTACTTAATTAAATGTTATTTATATTTTGTGGGTGTTGCTGAACAAAGTCTTCCCTGAGTGTCATTAATGGAAGAATGACAGAACCAGTGAGAATCATCATGATAACTGAGTGCAGAGATAGCCTCTGGTGATATTTTAGGGAAATCGTTTCTCAGACAGCTGAGCACTCAGATGTACTTCTAGCACAGGATGAAAAAACAAGGCTGAAACCACACCACTTCTAGTCGTGATGCTTCCAGTTTCACAGATTCTCATTCTTCATTTTGAAGTTAAACACTTATAGTAAGTCTGCACTATTGTAATTGTTTCTTTAGTGAGCATGACTCCATATGCATGAGCTAACTCATGTTAGAAGTTTAATACTACATATTTTTTTATTTTATTTTATTCTCAGGGAAGGAGTTACTTTCTTTGGCAATTCCAGTGTTTATTTTGGAAGATTCTAGTGACTGATCATTTACTGTGCTGCCTTATGCTGTATTAGAGAAGAGATGACCTTGTTTCTCATGCTTTGCTAGGAAGGAATGGCTAGGAAGAAGATGTAGTCTTTTAAAAAAATTATCTAAAACAGATGTTTCTAACTTGCTCTATGGAGATAGTAGAAAACAATCAGCAACTGCTGAGTATCAGTTTTGTCTGTTGTGCATTATTGTCTGTCTTGACAGCATAAAATAAATAAATTATACGTATTCAACCCCCTTTGTTTAAAAAATAAGGTTGCAAAGAAACAAGAGTTATGCATGTTTAATGCCACTTACAATCAACATTTATACAAAAACATGAAATGTAGCCATGATGAACTTGGACACTCTTACAGTGCAACTAGAATGCAAACCTGGGGTCTGGGCAAAGAAGAAATGTGAATTTTACTGTCTTGTCATAATCAGGACTCTGGCCCAGTGTATAATCACACCCTACAAAGTTCCTTTCCATGTTCTGGATTCTGTAAGAAATGCCAACTAATGTCACTGACATCCTTACTCTCATATTTACTCTTTCTTCAAGATAACGTTGACATGGATTTCCAAATGATACTGTCAGTAAGAGTGGAATAACTAAGGACCTATAGGTTCCACAGAAATTGTGCACATTATGGTTATATATAGTTCAGCAAGAAAAGGTTGATGCATATAAAAATTTGGTTTACCTGTAGATTTGCATTTCCATCTGATTTATGTGTGTTACAAATGTTTGCATATGTAAACTTGGTTCAAAAATACTCAGCTGTTGTCATGGTTCAGGAGGTAAGTGGTTACACTTGATGAAATATGCATAGTGCCATTTTTCACTACTATGCTTACTAGTAAGAAAGAAAATTTCATCCAGCCTCCTACCTTTCACTGGAGTCAATCCTATGCTCATTTAAACCAATAAACAACTTTTCTTCTGACCTCAGTCAGCTGCAAAAACAAACAAAAAGGACCAAGACATCTGTTAAATGCAAGTATTTCGCAGTCCTCACTGGAGGTCAAATAGCAGCACAGTAACACAACTGCTAAAGCTAAAGATATTCATGGCATTGATAGGCTACACACAGTACAGGCACAAAAAAGAATGTTTCCTAAACTGGTGTTACAAAGTTATGAGTCTCTAAGCACTACCTTAATCTGAGGAAAATTATCCTCAAAGGCTTGGACTTCTTTCTGGGTAAAAACTACAAGTGTTCTCAAACTCCTACTCAGCAATATGTTCTGGAAAGTTTGTTTTTTAACTGCCTACTGAAACTTCAGGTTTTTTATCTCATATCCAGCTACAGCAGCACTGAAGATTTTTCTCTCTTCTCTGATCACAGGAAAAAAAGCAGTTTATTCCTGTTTCCTTTCATCCCTGGTTTCTTAAATGGGGCTTAAAGCCATTTAGCTCTTTCACCCTATGTGATAATTAAGTTGTTGAAGCTTAGTCAACTTCAGTTTTCCCAGTTAAATTGGCCCCCTTCCAGCACTGTCAGTTTTCCATAAATGTATAGGGAAGAGCCCTTACATAATCCCTCCACTCCCAGAGGAGCTCAGCACTGCCATACAGACGCAGGCCATGTGCAGACATCACCACTACCAAAACCCATCTGCCAAATTCAGTGTCTCAGGAGGACACAATCCTCTTCAACACTGCTTATGAGATGGAAGGCAAGTGCCGTAGCCCTGGCAGAGCAAAAGAAGTTTCACAGCAAGCATTTACCGTGTTGAGACCACGTGGGGAATAAGGCTGTGGTCATTCTCCTTGCCATAAGCTTTGAAGATGTCAAAGATGTTGTAGATAATTGTGTCCCTACTGCTGCCTCCCTCTGAGGTGGCAGGCTCTGCGGCACCACTGTTTCCTACCACCACTCTGCTATTGTCATAGGACTTGACAGCGAGGTGCCACCGCATGAATTGCCATTGGCTCAGAGGGTAATGCTAATGCTTGTTGAACAGCCTCCTTTCTGTTGTGTTTTCTTAGCTCATGCAATCCCAGTGGATCACAGCAGAAACAGTACTGTTCTTGACAACCTGTAAAGTATTTTTATGAACTCCATAATTTAGTATTTAAACATGTTAGCAAGTTTGTTTTTTTTTTTTTTTTAAAAAAAGAATACCTTAAAGAGAGACCTTTTCTGAGTTGCACCTTCTGCCAATACCTTTCCAGTCTCAGTGCCAGCGTAAAGAAAGGTATTCTTTAATTGAAAATAAAGTCCGGTGCATCTGCTAATTTGTCAACAGGGCAGTTGGCATCCCTTCACCCTTCCTGCTCGTGTATACCCCAGAGTCTGAAATATCAGATTTCAGCTGGTGAAGGAGGAGCCTGAACACAGAATGCAAAACCACTTTGAACTTTCTGGAATGGTAACAGCAGCACTTGAGGAGAAAACAAAGCCTGGGCATAAGTACATTTTCACAACAGCTGAAATGAAGACATCTAACAACTGCCACATTCCCAGGGAAAATCCTGTTGAGCAGAAACTTAGTCCATCAGCTTGTTGTACAATTGCTCCATGGTGTTCACAGAACTGGCATTTCTTTCAAGTGCCCTTCAAAGGTTATTTAAAATTCATAGACGAGACTGACCTGTGGAACTCAGCACAACTCAAAAGCTGTCTTTTGCCATTCAATCTTTCTGATTTGAAGGCACTTCTTTCTGCATATGAAGTGTTTCTTTTAACTATGTTGCACCTTTGCAGTTTCTAAATGAGCAGCAGTTATGCTGCTCTTTCAAGATATGCATCTGTCATCACAATGTATAAGCTAATGGCTACAAGATATTTTCAGTATTTAAAAAAAAGTAAATTTGAAATAACTTCACAGGAATCAAAAGGTTTATTTACAGTAGTGCAGTACTTCCTGGTGAGCTACAGATCACTCCCTCACCTTTCACTTTCACCCACACAGACAAATATCTGTTGTCAGGCAGTAAACAGAAGTTTAAATATACATGGATAATTCATATTACATTTCAATAAAGTACAATCCCTATCTAACAGGCTGTTTCAGAGAATGGTTTATGGTTTACTGTGAAGCTTTACACATGAAACTTCCTTATTAAAAAGTTCTACATTTCAAGCAGACTTCCATCTTTAATTGAATGGCATGGCTGGTTTCCTTCATGAGCCCTGCCACTTCTCCTATCATTTATTCCAGGCAGTGCTAGAGTAGGATTTTTTTTTTAATGTACAGTAGTAGAATTTTTAGCCACACATACATTTCACTGTGCACACATGGAGAGAAAGCTTAAATATACTTTTTTATTTCAGAATATATCCAGATTTTGGAAACTTGCCCGCTCTTGCCTTCTGTTTTGCTTAAAACTTTAGTCTACAAAGCATCAATAAGCATCTTAAACTAAACTAATGTCTGCATGTCATTATTTATAAATGTGTAGGCGCTTGCCTAAAGGCAAAGGAACCCATAATACTGCTATCATTTACTGTTTACATTTAGCTTTTCCTTTTCAGTGAGTGTTTTCCTACAATATTTTTTTCATTTCAGGTTTTAGTTTAGCCTGCCCTCAGTACTATATGTAGCATTATTACCACCCTAGCAGCTCTGTACGGCAGCAAAAGAAGGTCAGCCGGGAACAAGAGGTTGGAGCATCTCCCAGGGCCTGGCTGGGCTGTATTACTAGCACTTCTTTGGGCAAATATGCAAAGTTTAATGAAGCCAGTGGAAAGACTCCCACTGGCTTTGGTTAGCTTTGGATGCAGCTATAAATTAGGTAAGTTTGATTTTAATTCCATTCCTTGTCCACAGTATTTTTTTCCCTGTGTTAACAACATAGCTCCTCTTTAAACCATGACAGAACTGCTCTTTACAAAAGGTCAGTTTGCTAGTAAGTTACACTGTAATATGACCAGATATGGATCCTAAGATGGCTGCTAAGTAGAGAGGGTCAAAAAAAGATACCCTTTCTAGTTGTGTGGATAGTTATTGACTTCAAGGGAACCGTGCAGTAACTTCTTATGCTTCATAATCAGCATGTCATAAAATACCATTCTGAAGTGGAGGAGTACCTGTTATCCAACCTTTCCAGAACAAAGTGAAGACAAATCACAGTTCTAGGAAAACCTAGGGAAATGATAGAAAAACTTGTCTAAGGTGACTCACTAATTTAACAATAATTTAACAGTAGCAGAAACACTATTAACACAGGAATTCCTAGTTTGTGTCCCATTCCTTGCTCCTTGTGCACGTATGATATTATCACAATAATGTATGACATTATTCACATTATGTGAAGAAAGCACATAGGCAGTGCACAGTAAACTGATAAAAGGATTTTATCATTTTAACAAGGACAAGTTTAAAGTAATGTGTTCTTAGAATCAACAGCATAGGCCATGTGAAAGAAGGACAGCTATCGAGGCACTTTGTTTTGACAGTGATTACTGTCCCTACACATTCATCTGAGTAAGATAAAGATGTAAAGAAATACTACTAAGTAATTAAAGTTTGGTTGTTTTTTTTTTATAAATAGATTTTTCCATTAAAAATACTTGTCTTGTACAACAGAAATCTATGCAGTCATGTATCAATGTATTGCTTTCTGAGTAACGATTTTCCCTCAGAACTTTTTCTATTTATAAAACCCCTTAAGCCTTTTGCAGTATGTTTCTTGTTCAGACATAGCACTTAATCTCCAGAAAATGACTCAGCCAACCAGTCCAAGCACTTCCCTAACAGAGGATTCAAAACAAGTGAGAAAATTATGAGCATGTTCAAAACCTGACTACTCATAATAGTGTTTAAACTGATTCTATTTTTCTAGATCAGGAATATGTTTACTTTGTCATTGGAAGTGCATAGATGCTTTCTATTTCTGTAATTACTCTACCATAACATTATATTTTAATAGCAAATAAACAGATTTACAACTGAGATTTGTAACATGGATAACCCTTCTGCTGCTCTTTTTTGGTATGGAGTGGGCATTGTTATGAAGAAATGCTCGATCTTTTTAGCTTGCATAAGAAACTATCATCTTGGAAACACAAAGACATAACTGGCTAAAATTGTAATTTTCAACTTATTTACTAACTCACTGCTATTTTTTCAGCTTTAGAATATCAGAGATCTTGTTAAGTTTTCTATGCACAAAAATGAATGCTGTTTAAGTATTCATTTATAAACATAATCCAGCATATTCATCTGCAAAAAAAAATTAGAGATGGAACTGGAAGACAGAGAACAAGCAATTTCAATTCTCCTTTCAAGAGCAGAATTATCAAAAAACAAGGATGGAATTTCATCCTAGAACACGTGCATAACTGCCATCTGCATGATTCATCATGGAAGCAAACACAGAATTTCTTCCACACTCCACAGTAAAAGAAGAGCAATAGAAGTATTTCCTTTTATCCAGATGTAAAAAGACCAACATTTTTGGCATTTCAACCCTTTAGCTTAAAGACAGCCCCACCTGTGTGCTTTGTCCTTATCTCTATGCACCAACAAAACCCCAAAATATTTCTGACCCTTTGGGCTCTCCTGAGGGACACAATCGACAAATAAACCTCAGATCTATAGCACCTTAGAAGTAGTACCATAGCAATAATAGAATTTGCATTACAAAGCACAGGTTTTTATTTTGAGGACTTTTGAACCTCATCCTGTTTTGCAGCCATGGATGTTGTGGCTTAAGGAAATAGCAATTGATGTATAGTCCCAGCTTTCAGCCTTACAATATATTGAACAAGCACTTGCTTATTTTCAATGGCAGGTAAGGAGAAGGAAGCTATGGAGATTACACCCAAGGAATATCATTTACTCAAAATCTATCATCTTCTATGTAACAGCTTTTTTCCTGTTATTGTTTTAGATACTTCACAAAACTGAGGGAAGACGGAATAATCAGAGTTTATGAAACCTTGGTCTGTTAAGCACAGAAGAATACCCATCATCCACAGCATGAAAATGATCCTTTTTTTTTTTTTTCCACGATAATTACCAGTCCTTCTCTAATCCCACTGGTTTCTTTCAAGCAGACTTTTAATACAGGTTGGAAGCGATAGAGGAACATGTTAAGTACCTAAACACAAGAGAGGGTTTTGAAATTAAACCTATTTCATATTAACTAAGCTAACTACATACTTAAGAGTCTTCGTACGCCATTTATGGGTAAATGCATAGCATGGTAATATATGCCCCCATCCTGAACTGACCTGATTCCATGCCAAGAGTGGTCGGAAAAATAAGAATGCCATATCGTCTGACAGACAATGTCATTCTGATAAATGTCCGAGGTCACATTCCAGTGCTATCATTGTTGGCCTTTCATCTGCAGAAGCTGTTCTCTCTCACAGCCAGCAGTACAGCAAAGTGACTCAAAAGCACCTAAAAAAACATACAAGGATAACCACCATAGAAACATTAGGGAAAAATCAAAATACCAGAATGTTTTCAGCTACAGATGCAGCTTGGCTGTGTTAACTTCCATATCTACTTCAAGTTTTGTTTGAAGTATCCACCTTCCTACATCACTATAGGCTTACTGTGAGTTCAGTACAGAAAACTGATGGAAGGTGTGAACATGGAACGAGAGCTTACAAAAGCTTTGTATAGCTAGTATCTGCAAAATGCCATGATCTCTCCCATCTCTGAATGTTATTTCAGGTTCCACATTGCCTCTGATATGAAGTGATATTATTACAGTAATAATACAGCTGCTTGTTAATACTGTGAAATCTAGACATGCTTTGCTAAGTCTTTGCTATTAATCAGGAAAAAAAAAAAAACAAACAGCTTGGGTAAGATATGCCTACCTTCCATCTTTTTTCGGAGCCAGAGTTCTTTCAACTGGTCCTATGTGGGACAAGGTAACCTCGACTTCTCTTGCAAAATAGCATTTTTATAGCACTACATTATGCATTTATTTATTGGGAGAGGAAAGAGGTGGGTCTGCAACATCACTGCAAGTTTTCCTGTTGGCCTGGAGAAAGTACATGGGACCCTTGCCCTGTAGTTGCAAGAAGTTTTGATTTAAATTTTGTTTTGAAATAGATTTGGACAACTGCCTAATTCTCAATGCCTGTGTCCTGTGTCCTGCAAGAGAGAGGACAGAGGGAAAGAAGGAAAGAAGAGGAAAAGAAGGGGGAAACAGGATTAAAAAAAAAACTTCCCAAATAAAAGTAGCTGAAATAATTAAACAGATATATTGGCAAACTCCATTGCCTTTAAAGGTATTAGGAAATAAGGATTTGAAAAAACACACAAGTCAGCCAAAGTTTAAACAGTTCAACAAGGTGCCTATTATTTAACAAAAAGTCATTATGCAAGTGCATTTTTTAGATTAGATGGAGCAAAATGAGATTTATACAGTACAGAACAAAACATAAACTAATACTGAGCACCAGTATTATTTCCAAGATCCCTGTTTGTATCATATTCTTAAACAATTTCTTCACTCTCTCCTGGGGAAGGGGGGGGTGGGGCTAAACTTGCTTAGTTTCTTCTTTCCACCTCCCTCCCTACTTTGATATGGTAAATTCAGAAGTGGATGCAAATTGCAGACCAGCTAGAATTCAGCTTGGGTACATCCCATCCATAGGTAAATTCAGTGTACCTTTCCAGGGAGGTCAAAAAAAGCAAACTTCATCAAGACAAGGCCAATAAAGAAACACAACTTTATTGCTGTAAAAATCCTGTCAGATTAAACAATAAAACCAAACACTTACCAAGGAGTTACATACCGGTTGGCCTTTGGTTAAGAAATGCTCAAGAAGCAAGAATCCACCAGTTGTATCAGAAATAGTTCCAAAAGAAGCACCAATACCACAGACTCAGAGGCTCTCACTTAGGTAGTAAATTGGGAAAGTTGTCACCATAAACTGCTGATTTACTCAGGAGGGAAAGAAGACTTTTCAAAGTGACAAATCAGATTAAAGCTTCTTCCCTAACTTGGTCCTAAAAAAGTCTCATGAGCCCCAGAGGGCACTCTATCTCCTAACGTAGAGGGATGCAGCAGGAGCACATTTCTGCATGTACAAAAAGTTCTCAAGACTAACAGACATTTATTTAGCTTCATCCTACTTCCACTGACTTCAGCGGTGCAGGATCAGATCTGCATCTGGGTGATAAGAAAGTAACAGATTTTTTAACAGTAAGCTACAACTATATTCTTCAATGCTATTTCAGGAAGTGCTTATATAATAAGGCTATAGATAGTGTGGGTTAAGTGATTTCTAAACTCAGTCACGTCCTGTTGGCTAGGAGTTACTGTTCCCCCAAATGCCACATCTCATCTGAGAGTACTGCCATTGTCATGCAAAGTAAATGGATAATCTTTAATCATGCTTTTTACCACAACTGAACATTAAAGCACTCAAAGTACTGGCTTGTTTTAAAACCATTCACTACTTCTGCTGGTTCTGAGAAACTTCCGAGTGAATTGTCATACGTGTATGTGGAAATAGAAAACAACAGGAAGGGAGCCATGTCTTCTACTGTTTCAACACATACTGAATATATGCTTGATAGAAGAGGTTATTAATAATCAGAAAGAAAACAGGATTCAAATGAAGATATATGTGTAGATTAGGACCGGAGGAAATTTATCATCATTTAACTTGACTTTCTATTTAAGAGAGGCTGTTCATTTCCAACCATATACTTTCTGCCTGCATTATAGTACTCATTTTAGAATTTTTTTGGTTTTTATTAAAAAGTGTCATGTATTAAAGAAGCTTTTGCAAACCAAAGATGATTGCACCAAGAGCTGGCTTGTCTCAGAGTAAAAATGTGGCTTGAATGTAGCTAGTTTTTGCTTCCAAATTTAGGGTGTTTCTTCTGCTTGATTATAGAATTGAAAGTCACCTTTCCTTGTAGGCTGTGATAAACACTAACTCTTAGTTTAAACATGTAAATTAGCCTCTATTAGACTCTTCCTCCTTGGACACTGGTTGTTAATATTGAAACACATATCACTCTAGTGATCATCCCTTAGCAAATTATTTATGTCAGGTTTTATAAATGACTTGGAGTCATCAGCACTTTCCACATCGACTGAAAAACATGTAATTTCACCAGAGCAAGAACAAATTGTTGGAAGGAACAGAAATAATTCAGACTAACTAATCTTCAAACTAACAACTTTTTCAGCCTATCAATTAACTAGCTATCTAATACTGCATTTCCTTTTTATTTTAATCAGAATATCCAGCGTCCTTAGGATGACCAAATCATTATTAGATCTACATAGGTATGTTTACTAGCCACACTTACAAATGCATGTCTACAGTCAAGCTCTATCACCCATAAAGCTATGTCAAATGGTATTAGTTATGTTACCATCAATTATTTGCTTTCTTATTGCACCCCATCTCCAATTTCATCTGATTTTGCTTCTAGCAGTCTTAGGGTAACTACTCTGAAGTTCATGATCCTTATCTCTTCCAAGTTTAAGTACTGGTACACCATCTATTTTTTTGTCCATCGTATCCTACAATTTGGTAAAAATACTACTTGATCAAACAATTCTTTAACCATCCCAGCTATAAATCCTGTGAATTCTTGGATTACAAGCAAAGCTGTAAACATATCTTTCTATATACAACAAATTGAAAGTACAATTTGAGAGAGACATCATCACACAGTGCAAAGAATCAATAATACAGTAATGTGACTTGAAAGTATAAAAAGCTTATAAAGTTCTTACTCAATATATCGACTCTAACAAAACCTTTTAATAGCAGTGCCTGGACAGGCAGTTTAGTAGGAATAACAATAATCCAGTCTGCAGTAAATAAAGGTGTGGGCAAATTTCAAAGCATCTTGGGTGGTGACAGGGTCAAAGCCTAGCCTCCTCTACAAAGGGCAAGATGTTCAAATGCTTGAAATACTATTCTCAAATGGGAAGATGCAAAATAACACAACAGTCTGAATCCAAACAGATACAGTAACTGAAAAGTAATTCCATATAAAGAAAAAAAGAAAATCAGTAAATTCAGTAAGTGGTTATATTTAGAAGGCCTTAATGATAACTTTTTTTCTGGTAATAAATTGTTGCCAACCCTCCTCCTTCTGAAGATAAATAATACCAAACAGACAGCTTTTTGGTCATGAGAAACAAGCACAAAGATAGCCAAGACTTAGCAGAAAAAGATAGCAAAAAGCTGCACTGGATCATACGTAATAGTTATGCAAGAGATCAAAACCTGATGCCGTGGATTTCTATGGTAGAGTTAGATCAACCAGAAGAAACAATTTCATTCACAGGCTGGACACCCTTGACTCTCAGAAAGTCCTGGTTTATATTGGCCCTAAGCCCATTCACCCTAGAACAAACAAATATGACCCTAAAACAAAATCAGGGCAAAATCTGAACACAAAGTCTGACTAATAATATTTGACTTTTAAAAGTCACAGCAATATTTTGTCTTTTATGAAGAACTTAAATCATACAGTAACTTGAAGTTCATATTCGGAGAGCTTTTTCTGAATTAAGCTGTGTTCTTGTCCCATTGATAGATTTTGTTTCTCTACTTTCTCTATACAGCATGATTGAGTGGATTAGAAGTCACTATAGTTATTCACCTCAGAGGTGACTTCATCTGGTTAAGTATTCTTGTCCCAAACACTGCTGACCAATATGCCAGAATTGGTAACGCATATTGAACAAGATCCAGCTTGTGAAGAAAGCCACTTGTAAAACAAACAGAACAGCTGTGATTACATGCATGACATGACAGAATTTTTTCTCTACAAAACAACAGAACAGACCTGTGTCAGCTGGAGATCCTAAATTTAAACCAATCATCATCAGGTTTCATATATGCATCAAAACCACCAATATCTCAATATTTACTGGGAATTTTGGATCTGTAGATGCATTGGAAAGGAAGAAAGATGCTTGTGGAGAGCAGATGTACTGAGTTTTAATCCCAGTTCCCATCTGAGTAAACTTGGCTTCTTCTCCTCTCATGTGCAACAGGATGTGAACATATTTAGAAGCTTTTCTTCTTTGTGAAGAAGACCTTACTCATGTGATTACTGGGATAAGAAGTACAGATTAATGATTGTAAAGTGCTTTGAAATCCTGAGATAAAAGGTATCATGCAAAAAAGTTATTATTTTACACCATTTAATATCAGTTTGTTCATGGTGATATGTTATGAAAAAGGAAGCTAGACACTGAGATTTGGCAAGGGAACTTGTATTCTGGCTGCAGAAGAATGTCCACGTGGCATAGCTGCATCACAGACTCTCACCTTCTTCATCACAAAATAGAAGTGATAATACTTTTTTTTTATCCCCTTCTTTCCCTAATGTTCTTATGTAGAACTAATGAGTGTTTGTGATGGGTGCAAAGCTGCTTGGTTAGAATGGGCATATAGCATACGATAACAGAACTATCACCATACAAAACAAAGAATCACGATTTCTGTAGTCCCAAAATAAATTTCAAACCATGTAGGGGAAAAAGAAATACCTTTCTTTTTATGTACATAAAGCCTTCTAGTCTGGCATGTTGCTTGTTTTCACCAGCCTTTCTGGTTCACTAGCAGATTTCCAGCTCTCAAAAAAAGGACTCACCACAAAAATTACTCTTTTTTTGCCTCATCTTTGATCACCTGGTTCACATTTCAGTACTACTCCTCAGACATTCAGGCACCCCTCTCCTGTTGTAAATCATCCTGTATCTCCAGCCAGATAGTGAAAGAAAAAAGAAGATCCACATCTCTCCCTGTATCATTTCCCCAGTCGTGTCTGCCACACCTGTGAAATACATGGAAGTTTCTCCTGACTCAAGGAAGGCATGAAAGGGTAAGTGAAAATGAAAGGGTAGAAGCAGCTGAAGGAAAAAAGAAGACTCCAGAATATTTCTGTAGCAGTGCTGTGGAAATGGTTTTGGTTTTTCCTTTATTTTTTACAAAACCCTAATATATACAAGCTGCAGAAGTGCTATAAAATGTAATTTTACTTTGGCAATGCTGCCCTCTCTGCAGAAAGGCTTAGTCTGCTGGAGAGCTCTAGGCATGGTAGAGTCACTGGGACAGGGCCATGGCAGCCTGCCTAATGCCTCCCTGTCACTGCAGCAGGTAACCCACTCATTTCAGACAGTAGCAAAAACTTCATGCTTCTCCATGGCATGACCTTACACATTATATAAGTAAATATACCTCTCTGTGTATAGCCACACAGAGGAAATATTTACACTGCTAAGCATTTGAATTATGAAAGCATAAATAAAGCAATGTCTACTGGAGCCACTGTAAACCATCAGAGTTATGCTAGCCTAAGTATGG